GTATTATTAATGTGTAAATTAAATACAAATAAATGTATTGAAGAAGTAGATATGCCAGGTTCAAGTCAACTTTTTATTTATTTTTTGTCATTTGCACTCATCCTACATAAAGATACATACATGTGCTAAGGAACATCAAGTTAAAAATACATTACATAAAATATTTATCCTGTAGTTTTAGAATTTTTCATCATTTAAAATGAGTACCCTGTGTCCTTCTCCACTGCTAGATCCTGGCTACAGCATTTGATTCAGACCTTGGTGGGAAGGGCTTTGATGACATCCTGGTCAACTACTTCTGTGAGGAGTTTGGGAAGAAGTACAAACTGGATGTGAAGTCCAAGCCCCGAGCACTGGTGCGTCTCTACCAGGAGTGTGAGAAGCTCAAGAAGCTGATGAGCGCCAACTCCTCGGACCTGCCTCTCAACATTGAGTGCTTCATGAATGACATTGATGTTTCCAGTAGACTTAACAGGTGAGATGCAAAGTTACATTAATAATTAAGGGAACAAAGTCCGTTTTGCAACAGAGTCTGTTAAGGAGGAGAGCTGAAGCAAAAATCATTAAAAAGATTTTGAACAGTTTATTCTGTAGACTGTTTGCTGTTTTTGCCTCTCAGTAACAAGCGTAAAAAAAAAGGTTGATTAAAAATTGTGTTATTATTCCCTTGAAAAAGTACTTAACATCAGTCTGCCTATGTCAAGCTGCTGCTCTGCACATGTGGAGTTTTCTAAAGTGTGTGTGCTTCTATTAATAATTTACGACCATTTGTCCCCAGAGGTCAATTTGAGGAGATGTGTGCGGGGCTGCTGGCCAAAGTAGAGGGTCCCCTGCGCAGCGTCATGGAACAAGCCAGTGAGTACATATGACTTTAATAGCAGCTGGACTATCCCCCGTAAGCACATGGACATTCACATCGATGAGGTTCAGTCATGTGCTTTGCTGAGACAGCCCTTCCCGCTGCACACTATCAGCATGTCTGCCTGTCTTACCTTCCTTTTATCATTCCTTACTTCCTTACTGTCTTTGCTTGTTCTTGCTAGTCAATTCCAAGTAGAAATATGTCTAAACATAACAGAATATGAGTGGCTGTTTCAGGTTTAGAATATTGATTAACCTGTAAATGTTATCATAAACACATGGGCTTCATCCATTCAGGCTTGAACTGTTGGCACTCAACAAATTAAACACTCTGACAATGTTTTTGATCAGAGTATCAGAAAGTGAGCTTGTGACTTTGTGAACTTAACAAGCCTGTTTTGCTTCATCCTTGTCTCCCGCTTCTTGTGTCTAGAGCTGAAAAAGGAAGACATCTATGCAGTGGAGATTGTGGGCGGTGCCTCCAGAATCCCCGCCATCAAAGAGCGAATCAGCAAATTCTTCGGGAAAGAGCTGAGCACCACTCTAAACGCTGATGAGGCTGTGGCCAGGGGCTGTGCTCTGCAGGTACAGTTTGCCTGTCATGACAAACACTTTCGTCCTGTTAGTGACTCACACAGCAAGACTCACTTGCTGGCAGTTGTGATGGCACAGTGGGAGGACTATGACACGTGTTAATTGCTGTTCACTGGAGGATTGGTGTTAAACCCCTTGAATAAGTTAAATATTTTGCAACAGTTAGGCAATGGACAGAAAATCAAATAGTTTTAATAGCTGTTTCTGGAAGATAATACAGTTGTATAGTAAATTATAATATTGTATAGGAGCGAAAAAACAAACAAAAAACATGTGTAGGAGCTTAACAAATGCAAACTAAAGGTTGTTTATCTTTGCTGTATGTTGTTGGTTGTGTACAGTGTTTTTTGCTGTTGTTGGTCAGATTAAGAGAGAAACTTTCAGACTACAGTGTGAGCTTTATTAACTTGTGTTTTGTATTTTTCTCCTCAGTGTGCTATCTTGTCACCAGCTTTCAAAGTCCGAGAGTTCTCCATTACAGATGTTGTCCCCTACTCCATCTCCCTAAAGTGGAATTCAGCTGCAGAGGAAGGACTAAGGTACAATCTGTGAAAATGCGAAAATGCTGATCTGATACCTTGTTATAATTCGGGCTCTTACTTTTGAAGTTATCTGTCTACTGTATCGCACCACATAAAACGTCTTGAGGGCAACCATCACAGCAGTGTAATATTTTTACTCTTTGTTGTATTGTTTTTGTCATACTGTAGTTCTCACTGAAACTGCTAGATTTAGCCAGAGCTAGGCAAATGTTAGACAATTCCTACTGCTAAAATCAGATCAGCCAAATTGCAGTTTTGTTCTTGATTGTATCTACCTGTACCTGCAGGAATTTCTGCCAAACCTGCCCACGCCCATTCTGAATTTGTACCATGCAAACTCACTATTGAATGTATCGTACATTTGCAAAAAACAACTTCCAAATCCTGATTAGATTTAAGCTCTTAAATATAGCCAAAAAGCTGTTTGACTTTAAAGAAGACTTTGTATGTGTTTTGTAAACTGTTGCCAAATAGCAGATTGGTGTGTTGGTGGGTGGGTGGTTGAGTGGGTGGCAACCTACACTGTGCAAACAGTAGACTACAGTGTCTCCTGGTCATTTTTATCACCACTCGTGTTCTTGGGAAAAAAAATGTTACTGTCATCTGTTGCAGGGTGTTTAAGGCCTGTAAGCCAGTGCACTTTGTGTAAATCATAACTGACAGTTTCCGTATCAGAGTAAAAGCCTGATGTAGATTCTAAGTTGATGTAACTTTACTTGTGTCATTGATCCCAGCTTGCTGTGTTTTTACAGTGACTGTGAGGTTTTCCCAAAGAACCATGCAGCTCCCTTTTCAAAAGTGCTGACATTCTACCGGAAAGAGCCCTTCACCCTTGAAGCCTACTACAACAACCCCAAGGAGCTACCGTTCCCTAACGCCGCTATCGGTACTGCAAGTTCAACCCCTTTAGGCTTAATAACTTAGCTTTGCTTTATGAAAATATGTAGAGGTAGAACTAAAAAAAATTCCCAGAAATCTTTTGCATTTTGTAATTTTATCTATAGTTTGCAGTTTTCAGTTCAAAGTGTGCCAGTTGTAAGTAAGCTAGACAGTGATTCCACTTTCTGTGTTGGAGCTCCACATTTCATTAATGTTCTCATTTGTGTTAACCTTTGACTCTTTTCTCTACCCTGCAGGCCAGTTCTTGATTCAGAATGTGGTTCCTCAGGTGTCAGGGGAGAGTGCCAAGGTCAAGGTGAAAGTTCGGGTCAATGTTCATGGTGTGTTCAGTGTATCGAGCGCATCGCTTGTGGAAGTTGTAAAAACAGCTGAAGGGGAGGAGCCAATGGAGACAGACGTGAAGGAAGAGGAGGTGTGTACTGTTATGTTTGCGCTGCTTGTATGATGTGAATGACAAATAGTGGGTGTGGGTGTGTGTGTGTGAGACAAAAGAGAAACTCTTGGCTTGTTGGAAACTGTTTACTTTGTGTTTTGTGTCACACATCCTTTTCACTGCCCCACCTTGGTGGCCATATCATCACTGTAGAATGTAGGTATGTTGTCACAACCTGCTGAAGACAGCTTCAAGGGGTTGAACGATAATGCCTTTTTAGGATTTGTTTAGTATTTTATTTTGGGATATTGGTCACAATCTGCACCACAGTGCACAGTAATGCATAATCACTGTTTTTCAGACAAAATATCACACCTAAAACCTACTTAGGCAGGATTTCACTTAACAAAAAAAATGTCAAAGAAAAAAGACACATGTACAGAGGATGGACACAACATCATCACTACCAGGACAATTAATGTCATCCACTCAAGACCTCAAACGGCCAAGAAAAAGGATCATATCTTCTGCAAAGCTCAACAGAAATGGACAGACAGAATGATTTGTGCAGTCCCAGTGAATCTTGTTAATTAAATATCAGTGTTAAAACATAAGCAGCTACAACTATAGGTTTCTCTGTGATGTTTGGTTGTTTCACTCATGTTGAAACGGTCTAATCCCTGTTAATTAGATAAAACCAGCCACAGAGAATCATGTGCTACCTTAATATTTGTTTATCATTTCTGTGTGTCCTCTGTTTTGGTACCATGTGTCAGAACAAAATGCAGGTGGACCATGATGATCAGAAACTGCAGGCTGGAGACAACGGAGACAAGAAATCAGAGACTGAAGAAATGGAGGTAACCTTGTGCTGGGCGATAAGGCAATAACCATAATTTTAAAACATTTTTGATGCTACATGTAGAACAAAGTTGCATTGCTTTTTGCAAGTGCTGAGCAAGTGGCAACCCCAAAAGAATGTCACGTTTAAAGGAAGCCCACTTGCTTCTGATGTACACAAATTTACACGGCAAGGTAGAGGACAACAGAAGGAATGCAAAGTGAAAGTATGGGGTAACCGAGAATTCAGCGAGGCTAGGGTCTCATCAGTTCAACAAAGCTTAATGTCTTGGTACACAGAAAAAACGTTCCTCTATGTCCATACTTTAAAGTTGTTCTACTGACTGCTTTTAAGCCAAACACCTCTATCAGTGAAAAAGAACAGAAAAATACTAAATTTTGGTAGCACAAGCAGTCCTTAAATGGATTACCATCATTTTTTGTTTTTTGTTTTTTGTTTTAGTTTTAACACAAATAGGTTTTCAATCTGTAGGAAACTTTTCAATTTAACGACTGATGCCAATACAGCTGACAGAAAAACTTTCTTACAGAGAAAGTTATTTTAATCAACAAATACATTTTAGCATTGACTGTCAAATTAAATGATTGAGATCAAGAATTGCAATGTATGTCTCCCAATGTTTCTTTTCAGGGCATTTTTTTTTTTTTTAGATAAGACAAAGACTCATTTAATATAGATAGAAAATATTGCACTGGCATGATATGGAAATTGTTACATATTTTTAGCCATATCGCCCAGCACTAGGTAACCAGTGCATCCAGTGTACCAGCTTTTTTTTTGTTTTTTTAAGACAACCTAGTTTTACACTGAAAGATTAATTTTTGACACAGCTTATTGTTGTCACACACACATGCACATAGACAGGAATTTGGCATTTACTTGTTAGTTCTTGGTGTGGTATTTTTATTCATGCATGTTTTTGTGAGTTAAAAGGAAATCAAATATTAATCTCACAAAGACATTTGAAGATAACAGTAACTATTAGAAAGTTCCATATATATATTATATACATACATATATTGACAGTAAAACCTTGGACCTGCTGTGTGTTTTCTTGTACTTTCTATATTTTGGGATGCTGCTGTAGCATGTAAATTTCCCCCAATGGGGGATCAATTAAAAAGTATTCTGTTCTGTTCTGTTCTGTTCTATTCTATTCTATTCTATTCTATTCTATTCTATTCTATTCTATTCTATTCTGTTCTGTTCTGTTCTGTTCTGNGATTCTCCAATTTCTGAAGAGTGGAAGACTCGAGTCACTCAAAAATTGGATTCTTACTCTGACGTCTTTTCTCATCATGACCTTGATTTTGGTCATGCAACGAAGGTCAAACATCACATCAGACTGCAGGATGAAACACCCTTTAAACAGCGGCCACGTCCTATACATCCTCAAGACTACGCAGCTGTGCGACGTCATCTCCAGTCTCTTCTTGACGCGAACATCATCAGAGAATCTGAGTCCCCTTTTTCATCACCTATTGTGGTAGTTAAGAAAAAGAACGGTGACATCCGACTTTGTGTTGATTATAGGAAATTGAACCTCCAAACCATTAAGGATGCGTATGCCTTACCCAACTTGGAGGAATCCTTTTCAGCACTTAGTGGGGCTCAGTGGTTCTCTGTGATGGATCTGAAGTCTGGATATTATCAGATTGAGATGGAAGAGAGCGACAAACACAAAACAGCCTTCGTCTGTCCTTTAGGATTTTGGGAATGGAACCGTATGCCACAAGGAATAACTAATGCACCATCCACGTTCCAGCGTTTAATGGAGAAGTGCATGGGCGACATACACCTCCGAGAAGTGCTCGTTTTCCTTGATGACTTAATCGTCTTTTCCAAAACCCTGGAGGAACACGAAGTTCGACTGACCAATGTCTTGAATCGCTTGAGAGAAAACGGTCTTAAGTTATCACCAGAAAAATGCCGTTTTTATCAAACATCTGTACGCTACTTAGGACATGTTGTGTCCCGAAGTGGAGTCGAAACTGATCCTCAGAAGATTGATGCACTCAAGACCTGGCCGATACCTCAGACTTTGAAGGAGCTGAAATCATTTCTTGGTTTCTCCGGCTACTACAGGAGGTTTGTTCAAGACTACTCCAAAATTGTGAAGCCCTTAACAAATCTCACGATGGGCTACCCACCAACACGGAAAGTAACCAAAACAATCAAAGTGGATGCCAAATTTTACAATCCGAAGGAGCCATTTGGAGAGAGATGGACACTAGCTTGTCAAGAAGCCTTCGAGGAAATCATTGGAAAACTGACATCATCCCCAGTCTTAGGGTACGCAAATCCAGAATTGCCGTATGTCCTTCATACGGATGCCAGTACAACCGGACTTGGAGCCGCGTTGTACCAAGAGCAAGATGGACAGAGCCGTGTTATTGCTTATGCAAGTAGAGGTCTTTCACGCAGTGAAGCTAGATATCCAGCCCACAAGCTGGAATTCTTAGCCTTGAAATGGTCCATCACTGAAAAGTTCCACGACTACTTGTATGGAAACACCTTCACAGTAATAACTGACAACAATCCACTCCGGTACATACTTACCACTGCTAAGTTAGATGCAACCAGCTACCGTTGGTTAGCTGCTCTGTCTACTTTCTCATTTGACATTAAGTATCGTGCCGGTAAACAGAACCAGGATGCAGACGGGTTGTCAAGGAGGCCACATGGAGAGTTGACTGATGACAGCTGTTCCCAAGAGGAAAGCTTAAGGATCCGTGAGTTCACTTCGCACCACCTGACTCCTGTGGACGTTGTCAAAGCAACCTGTCAGTATCACATGGCGGAACAGGGTGAATCATCACTGTCCCCTTGTCTCATTGAGTCCCTTGCAATTCATCCGGATGCTATTCCAGCTGCATTTGAGGATGAGGGGAAAGTGTCCTCTAAGGGTCTTTCCATAGTTCCCACATACAGTGACGCTGAGTTAGCCGAACTGCAGCAAAAAGACCCTGTAATCGGTACTGTCATCAAGTTACTTCAGTCTGGAGAACCGACACCTACTCATTTAAAGTTTGAATCTCCTGAGCTTCGGCTGATGCTCAGAGAGATGAAACGCTTTGAACTAAAAGACGGTCTGTTATACAGGAAACGACAATGTGACAATGGAGCACTGTATCAATTTGTCCTCCCTAAAGTGCTAAAATCAGCAGTACTCACCAGTCTTCACGAGGAGATGGGTCATCTAGGGATAGAACGCAGTCTCGAGTTGGCCAGATGCAGGTTTTATTGGCCCAAAATGTTCTCTGATGTGGAGTCAAAGGTCAAAACCTGCCCACGATGTGTTAAAAGGAAAAGCCAGCCAGACAAGGCTGCTCCTATGGTCAACATCCAAACCAGCCGGCCTATGGAGCTGGTCTGTATGGACTTCCTGTCCCTAGAACCAGATAGTCATAACACCAAGGACATTCTGGTCATGACAGACCACTTTACTAAATATGCCGTGGCCATACCTACTCGTGACCAAAAAGCCACTACAGTAGCTCGTTGTCTTTGGGAGCAATTTCTCATTCATTATGGATTCCCAGAGCGGCTCCATAGTGATCAAGGCCGTGATTTCGAATCTCAGATCATTAAGGAACTTTGTACTTTACTTGGTGTAAAGAAAACCAGGACAAGTCCCTACCATCCCAGAGGGAACCCAGTAGAGCGGTTTAACCGTACACTACTGAGTATGCTTGGTACTCTGAAAGATAAAGAAAAAACAAAGTGGCGTGAGTATGTAAAGCCTCTTACACATGCTTACAATTGCACAAAAAGCGATGTAACTGGTTTCTCCCCCTATGAGCTCATGTTTGGGCGGCAGCCTAGACTGCCTATTGACATAGCTTTCGGACTACCAATCAAAGATGGCTCATGCATACCACATTCACAATATGTGAAAAACCTGAAATCTAACCTAACAGCAAGCTACAAACTAGCTACAGCAAATGCCAAGAAAGTAGCTGACAAGAACAAACAAAGGTTTGATATGCGAGTGAGAGAGTCTTGTTTAGAGATAGGAGATCGAGTCTTGGTGCGTAATCTCCGCCTCCGCGGTAAGCATAAACTCGCTGACCGGTGGGAGTCCACTGTATATGTTGTACTAAAGAGAGCAGGAGAATTNTTCTGTTCTGTTCTGTTCTGTTCTGTTCTGTTCTGTTCTATTCTATTCTATTCTATATAGCTAATGACGGAGAAATATTTGTAGAATAATAATAAAAGATGTTTGGGATATGCACTGAATTTGTTCTCTTCACCAAAAAAAGAGTAATGAAATCATTCCGACAGTGACACCATAACACTCATTTAAAATGAGTGTTTTGTCACAGTTAAGACACAAAAAGAACTAAAAGTTACTTAAACTACCAGATGTGGGACTAACATTGGAAAACTGCTGAAATTGACTGAAGTCACATGAGGCTGTAAAGATATATATTTTTTTGACAACGATAAGATAGAAAGATATGATTTTAAAAAAACAAAAAAAAACAAAAAAACATGCATAGCTTGTATTCCACTTATTTATAACAATGTGTTAAACATTTGGTGGGGTATGTCACAAATGTCCTGTAGTTTTTTTTGTGTGTTTATTTTTTTAACAAAGGCAGTAGTATTTCTACCATCCCCATGTTTATTGTTCATCTCTCCCTTTGCAGACATCGACAGAGGATGCCAAACAGGAAAAGAAGAATGACCAGCCTCCTCAGGCAAAGAAGCCCAAAGTGAAAACGAAGACAGTGGAGCTGCCCATAGAGAACAATTTGCACTGGCAGCTGTCCAGTGAAGAACTAAATACATTTGTGGAGAATGAGGTAATGCTCTAAAAATCACCAGGAATGTCTAACATGCACTCACAGGATTTGTCCAAGCAATGTGCTCGTGAGGCTCCCTGGTCCTGGGTGGATTTGCTATATTTATTTAAAGCAAACAACAAAACAAAGGCATGTTTGATTACTTGGTAATTTATGGTGGTAATATTGTGAACATGCTTTATCTTGTTCCTTATTATTTTAAGGTTCACTATTGATACAGACTGTAATTTATTTTTCCCATCATATTGCTTCACTTTGCTGCTCCTAATCTACACAAGCTTACATTACAGTACCGCATAAACCACAGCTTGACGAGAAAACTTTACCCAGGTTTTACTTGTTCTCATTTTTATACTCTATGTGAACTGCATAGTATATAATATCAGGAAATAAATATGATTCAAATAGTAAATACATTATCTTGATTCGTCCACAAGTGGTTTGATGTCCCTTCTTCACTGTGTTTGCTTTGCACTCAGCACTTCTGCTGACTAATCTGCAATTCACTGTGACTCTTCCAGGGTAAGATGATCATGCAGGACAAGCTGGAGAAGGAGAGAAATGACGCAAAGAACAATGTGGAAGAGTACGTGTACGACATGAGGGACAAACTGCACGGTGTCCTGGAGAAGTTTGTTAATGAAGCTGTGAGTACAGATTGGACACATGTCATCAGATTCTAATCTTTGCAATCTTTGGTCAAACCTTCAGTAGGTTTAAACCTTAAAATTCAAATATGCTACATGTATTTGGTGTTTTACACTCTTGATGTTTATAAAATGTGAAATGTATTCTCACTTTTCATTCAACATGTAGGATCGAGATTCGTTCTCATTGAAACTGGAGGACACAGAGAACTGGCTGTATGAGGATGGAGAGGACCAACAGAAACAAGTTTACATAGACAAACTGGCTGAACTGAAGGTAACCAAGTGTGTAATGTATGACTAGACCATTTTTATTCAAAAGGGTACTTGGAGATTTTAAAAAGACCTGACATGACTCAGTGCACAGTTTTGTTCAGGCTAACAGGTGGCAGTGACGCTACTGAGGTCGCTCGCTATGAAAGAATAAGGTTGAATTCTGTTTTCTCAAGGTTTCAACATGGAGAGAACTATTTGTAAGGCTTTTGTGCGGGCTTTGTGATGCATGGCTGCAGTGCAATAAGCATTTATCTTGTGTCTTGCTGGAGGATTGACTGACAAAGCTTGATCTTTTTCTCTACAGAAAATTGGTCAGCCCATTCATGAGAGATTCATGGAGGCTGAGGAGAGACCAAAAGCATTTGAGGAGTTTGGCAGACAGATCCAGATGTACATGAAGATCATTGAAGCTTACAAGGCAAAGGTAACTGAGATCAATGAATGCTTTGCTACTTAGACAACAGCTCTAGTTAATTTAGTCTCCCTACCTTTATCAGGAGTCTTTATGGTAAACAGCAAGAACATTCAAATTTTTAAAAACATATTCTTTTGCTGAGCAGGTTGTCAGATTTACCTGTGCTTCAGGGTGGCTGTGGGTCAGGTGGTAGAGCGGGTTGTTCTTGGCCCCTCCACAGGCAAAGTGTCCTTGGGCAAGAAACTGAACCCGAAGTTGCTCCCAATGGCAGGCAGCACCTTGCATGGCAGCTCTGTCACCATTGGTGTATGAATGTGTGTGTGTGAATGGGTGAATGAGAAACACATTGTAAAGCGCTTTGGATAAAAGCGCTATATAAGTGCAGACCATTTTACCATTTGCTTCTCCCAACAGGATGAGCTGTATGATCACCTGGATGAGCTGGAGGTGACCCGGGTGGGAAAGCAGGTAAATGATGCCATGGTCTGGATGAACACCAAGATGAACCAGCAGAACAATCAGGACCTCACCCTGGACCCAGTGGTCAAAGTTGCAGAGATCCAGGCAAAGGCTAAGGTACAGTGCGTTCAAGGCACATACACACAATACATGATTAACTTGTTCAGGTGGATATGACAAGCTTCCTTTACAGATGTTTTCTTTGAACTGCCCTCACAAATTCTGACTACAAGCCTCACTGTAGTCATTGTGCTCAGCAGGCATTTACTTGGGCTTTAGTGGTGTCATCCACCCCAAATCTCATACAGTAGTGATTAGTCTGGTTTCCTTTGGGCTTTCATTATAAATGTGAGCATTTTACTTGATATTAAAACATCCCCTCAATATTAGAACAGAATACAGGCCCTATATATATGTATATATGTGTATATATATATATATATATATTTTACTTGATATTAAAACATCCCCTCAATATTAGAACAGAATACAGGCCCTATATATAGGTATATATATGTGTGTGTGTGTGTGTATTTATTTATTGATTGATTGATTGATTGATTGATTGATTTAGTAAAAGTGAGAAACCAACCAAGGCTGGCTACCGTTTTGCAGTCATGAGAAAGAATTTTGTTTGATAAATTGGTTGTAGAGATCAGTAGAATGTAAATTCAAAACTATGATCGTGTGGTCTCTCCTTTTTCACTGTCAGGAGCTTTATTCAGCCTGCAACCCAGTGGTGTCTAAACCCAAGCCCAAAGTGGAGCCTCCCAAGGAGGAGAAGACAGAGAATGGGCCAGTCAATGGGCAGGAGGGAACAGAGAACCAGCCAAGCAACCCAGACAAAGCAGCTTCCACGGGCACGGAACAGGAAACGGCAGAGAACAAGCTCCCTGAAATGGACATTGACTAACTGCTGCTGCTGCCACCCCTGAGTTTCACCTCTGTTTGTCCTGCTACTTGTCCTGATTCTGTCCTTCTTCTGAGATTGTTATTGATGACACAGAAGCGTCTCTCCTGAAGACACAGACAGCAGCATCCCTACTATTCATCAGTCAGCCTCCTTGGCATGTCATTTCTCATTTTCTTTGATGAATACAAAAAAGTTGCATAATAATATTGAATGGACTACTTTGGCATAAAAGTTGTGAGTGTGGGATGGAAACTGCTTTCTCTGTGCTGCTTTGATGGCTGTTATGTTAAAGATTGTTTAATTCAGCATTTTCTGGGCACATTTACGTTAAGAATGTCAGAGTTACAGAATTGTCAGACAATATGGCCGTTCAATAGAAAACTAATAATACCCACAGGATTCTTGAAAATGTAAAATAATGCAGTATGTCTAAATAAGGTTTAGATACAGTGGCGTTGGTAAGTGAACATGAATTGTTCCAAGTTGTATATGACAAATAGTGCTTTTTTTCCAATACAAACAACTGTAACTGCTGGATTATGGTGTATTTAGTTTAAGAGGAAGCAGGGAGTTCTTGTTGAGTTTACTTGTACTGTATGTTCGAAACTAGATACTACAAGTTACTGTCATGCAGTATTTCATCGTTTGGCTTTTCTCATTCAAAAGCAATGGTCCGTTTGTTGTTCTCTGGTAGCCTTGTATTGTTTTTTTTCTACTTAACAGTGTGACTGCTGGTCCAGCACATCACCTTTTGGGGGATGCTGTTGTTGCCACATCACCGAAAAAAGCAAAAATAAATCTTGGCAAAAAAAAAAAAAAGCATGTAATGTAAGAAGTGGCTTATTGATGTGGTATAGTCATTCACTGTCCATCATTTTATTGTTGGTCGTGAACACCCCACAACACCCCGTAATATTGTTAAATGATTTGCTGTGAAGTTGACCAAGAGCATATTTACTTTTAGCTTTGACACAGTGTTTATTATTAGATAACAACAAAAAATTACTTTTAAAGTAACAAATTCTAACCTCTCAATTGTGAATAGTTTTTGTATTTGTTGTTACATTTTGGACAGTTGTTCAGGCACAATAAGCAATATATACATGCCAGCTTCAGCTCTCAAATATGAGATTTTATTATATTTTTAAATTCTACTTAATAATAATATGAACAGTAACTTGTATAACACTTTTGAAAACAAGAGTTTTGACATGCGATGCAAAAGCAGGATACTCAGACCAGCTTTTGAGCCAAAGTGCTTTCCGGTGGAGAAAAAATAATGGTGTTGAATTTACCTAACATGTTTAAATATTAAGGGTAAGACTCTACCGTATTATTTTAAATCCTAATTTAGCTTATTAAATAAATATGAAGGTCAAAGCCCTACAGTGTTATTTAAATTACAAATGTATCTCACTAAATTAAATATTAGGCTTAATACCTTACAGTATTATTAAAAATACAAATGTATCTCACTAAATTATATATTAATAATAAGAATTAACAGTATTATCTCAAATATGAATAAATAAAATAATAAGATTAAGATCCTACAACCTTAATTATGCAAATACACCCGACTAATTTAAAAATTAAGATTCAATCCCCATGAAAAAAAATTTGACTAAATTAACTAGTTTAATTAGGAATGTGACTGACAAAATATTGGTCAGGTTAAATGAAAGTAATAAAAGTGTTTTTACTGTACCCCATAATCAAATTGGATTAAAAAACAATCGATAAAAAATAGAAATCTTGAGGGCTTGTGAAGTATTGTTCTTCCTGTATTTAATTGGATAGATCATAAACTGATGAAAATACTTAAGTGCTTATTTAGTAATAGTAATAGGACGTTTAAGCTTGAACACATGCGAAATAAATAAAGTAAGAGTAAATGAAATAAGCACTTTTTTTTGTAAATTGCAAAACTCTTGGCACAGTGTAAAAATGAATCAGGTTCGGGGTCAGTTGTAGTTACACCAAGCAGCCGGCAGGCGGCACTGTCATCGTGGACGGTCGGTCATGTCATGAACCCGTCAGAGGGCAGGAGTCACTCGTACTTGGGTGGGATAAGGTAAGAAACATGTTAGTTTCACACAGCAAGTCTGTGCTTACATAGTAGTCAGCTTGTTGTAGCTTTGAAGAACTGGAATGGTTTGTTGTTGCCGCGGAAGGAAAGTCCAGGAGGCCGAGCTCTGGCTGTTGCCACTGTTTACATTCGCACTGCTAGCTAGCTTGAATGCGTTTCCCTAGTTACCTGGCTAGTTAGCTAACAGTCTTTTGGCTTTAAGTTTGTCAATTGGACCCCTGTTCACAGGAACACTCTGCTTATTCAAACGACTGCTGAATTACCTCAAAATGAGGACAACAGCTAATATGGATAAACTTTTGCTGGCTAGCATGCTAACTTTTGTGACAGAGCGTCGCTTAACGTTAGCTTAGACAAGCTGACGTTATGTCACTACAAAGTTGCGTTAGCCTCGTGTAGCTACATACTTGACTGATTCATCGATCATGTACAAGAGTACCTCGAAGGCAATTATTAACTAACGTTGGATCAAATAGAAGGTCGAAATACCCAATGGTACTTTTCTTCTCGTGTTGACAGTGACACATGACTAGCTGAAGGTGTGTATGCTACAGAGTTAGCTGGCTAAACTAAACTACTGACTGTGTGATGGCTGCTAAATTTGGCTTTGATATATTATGTTCGTTCTTATAATGATGAATTCTTGTCACGTATTTTATTGGTATTGCAGGAATGTAAATGTCTGACGACAAAGAAGCCCAGGAGGATGAGCTACTTGCTTTAGCAAGTATCTATGATGAGGAGGAGTTCCACCGGGCGGAGTCGGCACAAGGGGGAGAGATCCAACTCTGTCTGGAGCTCCCTCCTGACTTCAAAGTAGTCGTCAATGGTAGGACTGTCAGTGAAGTTCTATAAAGAAATAAAAATAGGGTGTGCAACCCATGTACACCTTATTATTTTCATACACAGAGGATTTCCATGAAGTCATTCTCTCCTGTAAATACACACTAATGAGAAATGTCTTTACATCGGTGTTTTTTTTGTTGTTGTTGTTGCAGGAGAAGAGAAAACTGAATACAGTGTTTGCTTCTTGCCTCCTTTGGTGATCAACTTTGAGCTTCCTGCAGACTATCCCTCCACGTCCCCACCGATCTTCACTCTTAGCTCTAAATGGATGAACAGAGCACAAGTGAGACTCACACTCGCTCACATAATCCCTCATTACATTTTAAACACAGAAAGGTGTGGTAAGCTAATCCAGTTTAGAGTGAACTAAGGTAAAGTGAGTGGGTTTAACTTGAAAAAGAGCAATTGTTGGTATCTCTCAAACAAAGGCTTTTGAGAAGTAATTTCCATTCATTTCTCTTAATACCTGTTCCTTCTCCTCCTCAGATGAGCTCTCTGTGCCGACGCCTGGATGAGCTATGGGAGGAAAACCAGGGCTGTGTGATTCTTTTCACATGGATCCAGTTCCTCAAAGAGGAACCACTGGACTTCCTGGGCATTCAGTCTCCTCTAGAAATCGTCAGGGGAGGAAGTAAGGCAGGTGGTGAGCGAAGGAAAACTGACCCTGCAGCTGCAGGTACAATTTTGTTGATTTTTGATTGCATGGGTACATCTGCATTAGTTAAAATTCCATTTTCTAACTTCTATGTCTCAAACTTTCATTCAGAGTTAGGGTAGATTTGGTGATATTGTAGATTACCTTGGGTACATTATCAGCAATTACCACTTATCCATTCTGCCTAATTTGTTTGTTCTAAAATAATTGCTGGTGTCTAAAACAGCTGCTCCATTTCATCAAAGTATACATTGTGTTAGAGTCCTCACTTAATTTACAGATAAAATCACCAACACTTGTTGCTTATTTGTTCAGCTCCGTCGCAGTGTGGGAGTCATTCTGAAAAGGCAGAGGATACGAAAAGAGAAGTAAAGAAGGAAAAGTCAGAACAGCAGTTTTCATCATCTTCTCAACTGGATCCGCGGGCCGTCACGTTGATGGACCCGCGGGCCGACCTGCTACCTCAGCTGCTGGACTTTGACGAGGCGCAGCGGCAGAGGGTGTTCGACAGCAAGGTGTTCTGCTGTGGAATCTGCTTTGTAGAGAAGCTGGGCGCCAACTGTCTCTGCTTTAAGGAGTGCCAACATGTTTACTGCAAGGCGTGCATGAGTGAATACTTCCAGATCCAAATACGGGACGGCAACGTTCAGTGCCTTAATTGCCCTGAGCCCAAATGTACCTCTTTAGCCACACCGTTGCAGGTAAGACATTGGTACAGCAGATGTGCTTGTGTGTTCTGGTGTTTGTTTGTAGTTCTAAAGTCAACTTACTGTTCAGTAAGTGCTTTCTGAGAGCAACATTTAACTAAAATCAGACTCTGAAGCTCAGTTTAGAAGTTTTCCAACCCTTTGATTTATAATGAACCAATCCCTTCTCTACTTTATTTTCCTGTCTGTATTCATCTTTCAGGTGAAACAGCTGGTGGATGAGGAGCTGTTTGCCCGTTATGACCGTTTGCTGCTTCAGTCCAGTTTGGACCTTATGGCTGACGTGGTCTACTGTCCCCGCCAGTCCTGTGGCACCGCTGTGATGGCGGAGCCAGACACAACCATGGGCATTTGCTCAGCTTGCCAGTACGCTTTCTGCACTTTGTGCAAGCTGGGTTATCATGGTGTCTCCCACTGTAAACTCCCTGCAGGTAATGTCACTGAAAATACAGCAGTTTTGTTTAGTAGGGTACAAAGAGAAGAGAGTGAAGTCAGCTTCTTGACTTAGCCCAGGTTGAACTAAAAAGCCAATCATTTGCTTTCTAGTAACATAAAGTATTAAAGAATTGATACTTTTTTAATATAGCGAGATATCTAAGGCAGCAGTGGTAAAGAGCCCAGAAGGTAAAAGAAGATGACATTTAACAAAACCAGTAAAAACCAGTGCTGTCCTTGTGTTCTGTCTTGTGCCATAGAGGAGTTACGTAACCTAAGAGATGAGTACCTGTCAGCCACAACTGAAGGGAAAAAGTTTATGGAGCAACGCTTTGGAAAAAGGGTGATCCAGAAAGCAGTCGAGGAGTCCTTCAGCAGAGACTGGCTCAATGAGAACTGCAAATGCTGCCCTCGCTGTGGAACCAATATACAGGTTGGGCTCCCCCTACTGGTAAAAGTACCGTAGAACAGGATTGACTTCAGCACCAGGAGTCAGTGTTCACTGCTGCCAGTTTTGAATGTGAAACAAACAGAGCGTGTGTTTTCATTGCTAAGCTTGTCAGATAAGTGCAATGCATTTGATGTGCATTTCTGTTTAGAAATGCCCCTTAACTGTTCTAAAAGCTCCTCTGTCTTAAATATACTGATTATAAAATGCTCCTGTTGAAACACACTGATCTCTTAAAAGTACTCTTTTCTCTCCTGTCCTTAAAGACTCCTTTGTCCAGCCCCAGACTGTCTCCATTCCTGTTGATGTTTGATGAGTCCTCTCCTGCTAATGTCTGGTCTATTTTTCTTTTTAGAAAGTAGATGGCTGTAACAAGATGACCTGCACTTCTTGTAAGCAGTACTTCTGCTGGCTGTGCCTGGGCGTCCTCAGCAAAGTCAACCCATACAGTCACTTTAACAACCCAAATTCACCCTGTTTTAACCAGTAAGTGATTTCTGCCTGTTATGTTTTTCATCTACCACTTCAGCCACTTTGTGTTGCCTGAAGACTCTAAATTTGTCTTTTCTTGCTTGTTGCAGACTCTTCCACGGTGTAGATCTTGATGAAGAAGATGCCTTCTGGAGTGATGAGGAGGACTGACAGCAGTGCAGCACCTCACTGCTATATGCTACATTTGAATGCACTTTATCGCTCACAAAACCATCACTTCATTTGTGGCTTTCACGATGCCTGCATTGGCCCAGCAGTACCACTACAAACATATACCATTGTTTATGTTTTGAATATAGTCAAGCATCTTGAGTTACAAAACATTTGATGCCTGGGAGTTAATTGCTGGTTATGACTTAGAATATGACAGATGTCATATATATAAAGTTTTATAATATTCAGGAATGGCAAGAATGGTCTTAGCTTTTATCTAAGAGAGAAATAGAAAGAGAAAGAGCTTGGACATTTTGGTAAGGGTTAAAATTTTCTAAACAACTCTTTCTTTGTTATGAGCTTCAGGGATACATACTTGGATATGTGCTTAGTGATTGTTCACACAGTTTGTGTTTCAAACCTTGGAAATATGGCAATGTCATTGATTGAAATTCGTTGAAATTTGTGGTTGGATTTATTTTTATTTTGCAGTAGATTAGGTCCACAGATCAACTTTCTGTCTTCCCAATTAGTCGTTCACTCCATGATGAATTCTGCACATCCTGCAGGCTGGTAATGATCAAGACTTCACGGTGGAAGCACTGACTACGCTCAGTTTAGTGAATTGAATGTGCTTTTTGCTTCCAATTAGTTAACAACTGTCCCCATGGGAAAACAGAGACTGTGCACTTGCCCTGGTTTGTCATCCTGCCAACTACAGTAATTATGTATGCCCTGACTTGACTCTGTGTCACTTGTCAGAAGTATGGCACAGCACATTTTTCTTTGGACAAACTTTAAGGTGGATAATTAAGTCAATTTCATGATCTAACCAAGATATTCTAAATGCAACAAAATTATGACATGGAGGGGAAACCCACAGATTCATCTGAAATCTGTTGTTTTTACTGTTTGTTCCAGCTTTAAGATTTGTTTAGGTTGGCTGCAAGTATGGGAAACCCTTCTGCCTCCCTGCACAGTGATCTCTGCACGTTACTTTTGACTGGATGTAAATGGATGATTATCTACAGTGAGATGAGTTCATTTACAGGATGGTGTTTCATAAGTTGATCAAACTCAGTCAGGTTTAAAAGAAAAAATAGTTTGCTCAAAAAGGTTTTCCTATTTGCTAGAGTGTGTTGAGTCAAACAGAATGTAGTTATGGAGGGCACTGCAGAAGATGTTCGTGACAGTTGATCCTTTGATAGTGTTGCTGCAATTATTATTATGATTTGCCTACCTGTTGGATAAGTCAAGCAGGGACTGTGGAATACTGGTGAACAGCCAGTACACTTTGTAATGAGATTTGACTAGGTTTATTCACACCCTCCTTTATACAACTGCTCTTTTACCGTTTGCCAAATATTAGTGTCAAAGTGGGGCCATAGAATCTTGCTAATGTCTTGAGATACAGAAATGATTTTGTGTAATGTTAACTTAATGTTTATTTTAAGTTTGATTGGAATAAGACTATCTCATGCAAGCACAAAATCTGGTTGTTTTCAACACTGAATGATTTGCTCCTTCCTGTTTGCAAAATGCAGAATACTTTGACAATTATTGCTTATCTGGATTGGTAAAAAAAAAAAAAGACAATCTCTTGTTAGGTCTCGAAATACACAAGTTCACTTTTTCCAATCAATGCAGGCCCACTGTCACTTCATGTTTCATGTCACAGTACCTGCAGAATCCTGTTGATTGCATTCAACATACTGTTCCCTGAAATAAATATTATACTTAACATTTTGTCTTTTTCATTTATTGATTCTGAGACTCTGGTCCTCATCATACCTAAATATACACAACTATGCAGCAAACTAAACACAGGAATGTCTAAGTGAGGCAGCAAATACCTTTTGAATTTTTTAGTAGGAGCATAGAGAAATGGTGAAAATGATATTGGAGAAACAAATTTACTTGAAGTGAGAATAAGATTGTTTTCCCTTAACAGTGGTTAGACAACAGGTATTGCAAAAAAAGTGACAAGGACACTGCATTGACATAAGTGTAAACTAGTTATCTGCCTGATTAATGAAGTTTAACCAGTGAAAGATCAGCCTGTTGTGTTTGGATCAAAGTTGACCAGTTTCAAGGTAAAACAAATCCTAACCAGCGCCAGGGAATAGAAAGCCCTGAGTTCCCACAATGGCTCAAGTAGTATAAAGCAAACACAGAGCTGGGGAACATGTTTTTCCAGTTTCCATTATGTACTTTATAGGACTGGAGAACGCTGGATCCTGGGAACATTGGATGCTTTGTGATTTTCTACCATCATAGTTGTTACATCTTCAACGTGAACCACATTTAAGAGTGACAGAATGTTATCTTGACACAATTTGTCACCTTTTGCAAAGAAAAACTTGAGTGAAATACAATTTTTCTTCTATTTTTTTTGTCCAGTCTTTTCAGAGATTTGTTCGGTTTTGTCATATTGTGTCTGGAAGTTTGACAGAATAGGTTGTTTTCACATAAGTAGCTAATACAATACATAATATGCTTTTTTTTCTCACTCTCCTTTTGTATATATTGAATAATATCTAAAATAGTTTAATATAATATCATATAATATAAAGGTGTATATGATAATATACTGATACCTGTTCAAAAAGGGGAAAAATACAGTGAAAACAATAAATATATCTATTCTATGTACACTATAATTCTGCTCTTTTAACGTGAATATTCGAAGAGGATTTATTAAAAGTTTTAAAATACTGAGGCAAGTGTTGATAAAAATCACATACAAAGTGTTTTGAATCTCTTTTTAAATTGGCTTTTGTTCTGAAATGTGTCTGCCTTTTAAAAATGTGAAGATTTTTTTTCACAAATCGACCAAACATTAAGTCTTAAGAGTTAAGATCATTAACAATAAAAAGCCAGAATCAGAACTATTGCCAAGTTTACTCAGATGTGCTTTAAAGCATCTTGTTACCTGAAATATGGCCCATATTTAGCCTGTAATCCAGAGGTTATGCTGTGACAGAGCGAGAGAGACAATGAAATACTAAAGAAACAAAGAGCCCACGTTTTAGCCTGAGATTGAAAAGAGACGACAACATGGTGTAATCCCTTTGGTCAGAGTTGCTGACGGGGGATAACCCTTTAAAATGGCCCCTCTCTCCTGTCCTGTCCCATCCCCTGCCTCGTGTTCTCTGCTGGCCTCCCCAGCCCCCTGCCTGGCTTTCTCCATACACACTGACTGGACTGTGGCGATGCCCGTGAAGACACCTGTTCTCACAAACACAGGAAACCACCAGCAGCAGCAGCAGCAGCACCTGACAAACCCTGACAGCCTTCACTAACCCTCAAACCGTTCATCCGTTTCTTCTCACTGGAGCGTAAAAGCGGGACGAGACTCGAAGGAAAAGGTTTGTGGATTTCTGTGTGGTGGCTGATGGGATGCAGCCTATAGGGAAGTTCTGGGAGGTCAGTGTCATGAATGTATGTTCTGTGGTCTGCCATGTTTTTGCTGAACGCAGTGTTGGTTTGTGAGTGCAGCGGCACTGAGTTGGATGGATGAGCTGTGCTTGGCTGGGGAAGATATTTTTTTTTATAACACTGAGGACTGTAACAGGCCCAAAGTCACTTCACAATATCCTTGTGAATCACTGCTTCATAATTATATGTTAAATACTTAATTCAATATTTATTCTGCTATTTATCGGAGCCAGTTTTAGATTTATTTAAATATAAATGATTGAATTAATGAAGTTTTATTATTTTCTCATAATATAAGCCAGATACAGAACATGGATAAAAATGAAAGAAATATAGCAAATAGAATAAAATAAAGCATTTTAAAAAATATGTACAGCATACTACTGAAGAAATCAAAATAATAGTAATCTAAAATGGGCTTTTTGCCTCTTTTCTAGAAAAAAAATAGCCTAAATACGTAAAAATTTATTGAATCTATGTAATTAATGTAAAACCATCTATGAACAGAATATTTCAGGGTTTGATATTTCAGAAA